AGGGAAGCCCCCCAAAATCCCCGGTTTTTGGAGGTTCTCGCGGCGACGGGGCCGAGCGGTAGCGCGGCTTCCTCCCCAAAACCCCCGCTCTGGGGACAAAAGCCACCTCGAGGTGACAATTCCCATCCTGGGGACCTTCTAGAACCTTCCGGGGAGCCCAAAATCCCACGGGGGAACCTCCAGAACCCGCCGAGGAACCTCCAGAACCCTCCGGCAGAACCCGCCACCCCCTACACAGCTTCTAACCCTCCTGAGGAGGCTTCCAGAACCTTCTAGAACTCTTCGAGGAACCTCTAGAACCCTTCGAGGAACCTCCAGAACCCCCCAGGAGAACCCACCACCCCCTAAACAGCTTCTAACCCTCCTGAGGAGGCTTCCAGAACCTTCTAGACCCTTCTAGAACCCTCTGAGGAACCTCCAGAACCCTCCAAGGAACCTCCAGAACCCCCCAAAGAACCTCCAGAACCCCCCAAAGAACCTCCAGAACCCCTCCAGGACAACCCACCACCCCCTAAAGAGCTTCTAACCCCTTCTGAGGCGGCTTCTAGAACCTTCTAGAACCCTCTGAGGAAGCTCCAGACCCCACCACACCCTAAAGAGCTTCTAACCCCCTCTGAGAAGGCTTCCAGAACCTCTAGAACCCTTCCGGGACATCCCACCACCCCTTAAAGAGCTTCTAATCCCTTCTGAGGAGGCTTCCAGAACCTTCTAGACCCCTCTGAGGAGCTTCGAGCCCCCCTCAAAACCCTTCTGAGGAGCCGCGAGACGCTTCCCGGGGACCGTTCCTTCTCTTAGAACGTTCTAGATCTTCTGAGGGAGCCTCTGGGGAGCTCTTAGGTGCTTCTAGAGCCTCCTGGGGGAGGTTCTAGAAGGTTCTAGATGGTTGTAGGGCCTCACCGGGGGGCTGCGGGGGAAGATGGTGGGAACGGCGTCGGGCCGCAGGTAGCGGACGCCCCAGCGGTACTGGAAGCAGGAGGGTTCAAAATGGTCGCTGCAGAGGTGCTGGTGACGGGTGGGC